TGACTCAGCCTCCCAAGTAGCTGGGACTACAGGCATGTGCCACCATGCCCGGCTAATATATATATATTTATATATTTTTTTATATATATTTAAAATATATATTTAAAAAATATATATATTTTTTTATATATATTTAAAATATATATTTAAAAATATATTTATATTTTTAGTTGTCCAGCTAATTTCTTTCTATTTTTTTTAGTAGAGACGGGGTCTTGCTCTTGCTCAGGCTGGTGTGGAACTCCCGAGCTCAAAGAATCCACCCGCCTCAGCCCCCAGAGTGCTAGGATTACAGGCATGAGCCACCACGTCCAGCCTAGCTATTATAATTCTTAATAGTTTTCTGTACCAGTTCTCCTCTGGATTTTGCTTTCCCCCCTAGATTTCTAGAATTTATGCTTTCTGCATTTGTATTACTGTATTTATGTGGAGAGAAAAAAATTATTTTCTGCATACTTTGTGCCCTGCCCTGGGTGTGGTGTCTCATACACTTTCTCATTTAATCATATTAACTCTTTATTGTACTATGAGGTAGATATTACTCTGGTTTTACAGTTAAAGAAACCAAGGTTCTGAACAGGTAATTTTCATAAGGTCAGTTTGCTAGTCAGTGGGCAATATTAAGATTTAAATACAGGTGCTCTAATTATTATTGTCATTGACTATAAAGGCTAATGTTTTTATGTTATAAACTCACCTGTATTACACCTAAACTTTTAAGCATTCTTTTAAAGTTTTTATATTCATTACCTATTATAGTGTATACTTTGAAAAACGTGATACATAATGTATTTTATTTAATTCAAAGCTTCGTTCTCTTGTAACTAATTTTGACTTTTCTATCTAGGCTGAATATTTTGATAGTTAGGCACAATGTAGTTGCTGAGATGTGAAGAGCAATTGCTAATTGCATTCTTATGTGTGGTAGATTTATGAGTCATGATGTTTCCATATTATTATTAGCAGTCTTGCTTATGGCTTGATACTGTAGAGCATGATACTAATCAGTGATTTGTTAGAAATGGAATGGAACTCTAGAATGAAAGAAGGTATTTGTTATGCAGTTCTTGTCTCTTAATTCAGATCTTGGTTATGATTCAATCTAGAACATAGGCTCATATATCTATACAAAGAATGCATAGAATTGGCCTAAATGAAATTTTGGAAGCTCTTATTTCGAAATGAAAATTTAAATGACTTAAAGCAGGTCATAAGATTAAGCATCATATGTTGAAATATTTACTTATATACTGTTTTGTTCTCATATCTTACCTGGCATGATTGTGATAAAGCAACTATGACTGGTTAGGTCAGATATAGAGAAACATGTTAATGAGGTCAAAGGCCAAGGTTATAAGTTTCATAACTACAAACTTCACCAGCAGTCTTATCAGATGCATACCATTAGTTACAAGTGAAAATCATACTGATTAATTTTGAGCTTCTCCTGTGTGTGAAGACCTTGATGAAGGAGGTTGGTTTAATCTTGGCAAGAGCACCAGTACCAGGAGAAATATGAATTCATGCTCTGATTTCTAAAAAGTGAGGTGAATCTGTAACACTGTAATAACAGTGTTATTTTATGAAGGACAGAATTATTTAAGAAAAAGATTGGGGGAATTCTTATCAATGGAATTTGGGTATATCATGGGCAAAGAGTAGTAGTGGAAGAAAATATAAATGTGCTGTGAATTACAGCTAAGGATGTTCTTAGGATTTGAGATAATTTTCTATGTTGATTGTAGTAATAACAGAATTTTAGGACTGTGCCTGATCTCATGAGCAAGTAGGAAAACAAAATTCAAGATATTGATTCAAGGACACCCAGAAAATAGTGATAGAGTTAGGCTTAGAATTCAGATTTCATTATTGTAGTCTATATCTAGTCCATTGTTTTTTCTGTATCATATTAGGCATGCAGTATGTTAAGTTTTTGAAAATATAAAGATGAGCATGACTTGTTTTTTACCATAAGAGAACTTAAAATTAATTCATTTAATAAGCAGGAACTCAGTAAACCATGTATAAGAAATTCTTTGCTAGGTTTAAGGGTTATAATAATGACTTAGCCTTTTTCTTTTTTTTAAATTTATGCATTTGTTCATTCAGTATTTGTTGAATGTCTACAATGATGCCAAGGTCTGTTTGGGTTTTCAGAGCTATAGCAGTGAACAAAATAGACAAAATTCCTACTCCAGTGGAGCTAATATTTGAGTGGAAAAAGTAAAAAAAAATACACATACAGATACATACTGTGTTATGTGATGATTACTGTGATGAAAAATAAAGCAGGGTAAGAAGGACGGAGTGTTAACAGAATAGGGGATGGATGCTGTTTTCTAGGAGTATCATGGAAGTCTTCTGATGAAGTAGCTTTTGAGGAGAATTCTAAAGGAAGTTTTCTAAGCAAAGAACCTAGAGCTCGCATTTCTATTGGGCAGACCATGGTGGTTAGGCGGTAAGTGTTAGAGGTTAGGGGAAAGGGTGAGCGAAGAGTCTTTACTACTCCTCAGTCAGGAAGATGGAGATGCAGGGTTAGTGTTGTTGGGAATACATGGAGCTCATGCTCTTGGTTTTCCCTGCAATCTCGCCTGATAATGGAAGGATGCAATGACAACACAGATAGATTATCCGTCTGTCATACCTGCAGCGGTAGGTCAGGAAAACCCTTACCAAGAACATAATGCTTTAAGAGGAATGAATTTACCAGGACCACTGGGATGGCTGTGAGGGGCTGCAGCTCTGGAGTTGTTAAGGTAGGAAGGGAATCAGTGATGAATTGAGCCCTTTAACAATCAGGTCAATGGAATCATCTGAGGAAAGCATGTTAAATGAAAACAGAAGAGATTCTAGGATGCAGCGTTGGGAAATAACTGTCTTAAGCGGGTTCTGGGGAAAGGGAGCCAAGCAAAGAGGGAAGAGAAAAGAAAGATAAATAGCTTGTAAACTAAGGAAGGGCAGTGTTTTGAGAAAAAGAGTGGTCAGTTAGATTGAGCTGGGGAAAGGTAAGGTTGTGTTAGACCTGAGTTGTGTGATAGAGTAGCCATTTGCCAAACATGACTAATTTAAATTTTATTAAATACAAAATTTAATTTCTTAATCTCACTTGCCACATTTCAAGAATTCAGTAGCTTTGTGTAGCTAGTAGCTGCCCTGTTGGACATTGCAGATACAGAATATTTCCATTGTAGAAAATTCTATTTGATAGCACTGTACTAGACTCTTATAATATTGGACAAAAGTTGAATAACAATTAAATTATTTATTTATTTGTGATAACAATAGAGAAAATACTATGAGATAGCTAATTAAGCATTGTCAAAGAACTAACACTAGGAAGTCAGGGTTGAAGAAAGATAACTTCAGCTTGAACTTTGGTAGCAGAATTGGCAATTTGAGTTGAGCCTTCAAGGTTAGGGGACTTTGGAGTTATTGGATAGGGGAGCAAAACAAAAATAGAAAATTACAGATCACTCTTAGCAATCAGTTTTCTAGACAGAGGATTTTAGCTAAGCAGAGTTTTAGTTAAGTGTAATTGCAAGACTATTTCATAGATCAGAACATTCTTGTGGGATGAATAATTGGGCCAAATTGTAGAATATTTTAAATATCAGGATTTGGGTCTTATTTTTGAAAGAATAAGGTGCTGTCACATGTTTTTGAGTGGCCAGACTGATCGTCTAGGGATGAAATTAAATTGGCAAATTAATCACTTGCTTCTGGCTCCTTTCTTAAGTCTCTCATTTGTTGTGCTACTAAGTAATTCTGCCTTATGTTTATATACTGCTTTTCAAAAGAAATTTATAAAATACACTCATGTAAATTATTATTAAACCTCACAACAATTCCAGAAAGTTGTAAGGTTTAATAATTAATGTACTCACAAAAGAGAAAAATCTGTCAGAAGTTAAATGACTTGCAAATGATGAGCTAGCTTTTGGTAGACTAGAGATATCTTGATGTCAACTAAATTACTATACAATACATACTGTCTTCAATGTATGGTGATCTTGGCAGTAGAGACTATGTCTTTATAATTTTTTTGAATCCTAATCCCAAGCACAGTAAATGAGTGAGTGGGGTGAGACTGAAGACAGGGATACTATTGAAAGGGAGATGCAAAAGTTGAGAAATGAGGTGATGTAGGTCTGACCTGAGTGGTACTAATGAGAAATGAAAGAAAAGAGTGGATATGAGATAGACTTTGTAGAGGCAAAAATAATCTCAGAACTTAATGATTTGATCAGATTTTGGGGGAAAGTCTCAGGCGACTCAAGGGTTTAGGTCTGAGGGATTGTAAGAAAGATGGGCAAATCAGTGGAAGCTAGTTTCTGACAGAAAGCCGAGTGCTGTTTTTGGCATAAAAATGCTTTCTGAAACAAGCTTAAAGCCCTTCCTTTATAACAGAATTTTAGAACTAGAAGTTAATTTGTAACAATGTCCAAATGTACAGATAGAAGTGTATTCAAGTTTTAGAGATATGCTAGGTCTGAGAAAGAAATTTAGAAGTTATCTGAATATAAGTAATAAATGAGACCTGAGAATGAATAGAATCTGCAGGAAAAGAGCAAATATTTGAGGCTGAGCATAGGTTATGGCGTATTCACTTATTTAGTGGGAGCACAAAGTGGAGGCAGGAAAATAGCAGAAGCAAAGCCAGAGCAGTGGATTGTTTTAGAAACCAAAGGAAGGAGAGGGCTTACGTGAAAAGGCTGATAGAATTAAATACATCTAGAGAGAATGAAAACTCCCCAGAACGTGCCAGAAAGGACTTTACAAATTGGCTGATTGATTGTAATTTCCTGAAGCCAGGACTAAAAAAAAAAACAAAACATTTTTTAAGGATTTAGTTTTTAGTGTAAAAGTAATATTGAACTTTGTTTTTGCTACTTAAAAGATTATTGCACCACTTAATTCATTTGATAAACCATAGGTGCTCTAGATTCAAATTCAGGTATATGAGGTTAAATCACTTCTGAGAAAATGTGTTTTCTTTTTAGATCTTGCCATATTCAGAAGTTGCTGAAGTTCAAGAGACAGTGAGTAATATATGGTGCTATGTTGGAAATGTTAATGTTTTTGTATTTTATTAGGATTTCAAATTGGATTCTTAAAATATATTTTCCACTGTACTTAATCACAAGTGATTATGTCATTATAATAAAGAGCTAGTGTAGATTGAAAGAAGCAGTTTAAAAAATTGCTTACATTTTTCTAAAATGTAAATAAATAGGTTTAACCTTTTTTGACTATAAACATAATGCATACTAGTATAGCATATTTAAACAGTACCTACCTCCTAAGGGTAACCACTGTTAATCTGTTGGCGACATCTTGCGTAAATTTGTATGTATATATCTTACAAATGAAAATTCACAAAAATGGAAGCATTCTGTTTCTACAAGCTTTTTTTTTTTTTGAGACAGAGTCTCACTTTGTTGCCCAGGCTAGAGTGAGTGCCGTGGCGTCAGCCTAGCTCACAGCAACCTCAAACTCCCGGGCTCGAGTGATCCTTCTGCCTCAGCCTCCCAGGTAGCTGGGACTACAGGCATGTGCCACCATGCCCGGCTAATTTTTTTTTATATATATATATCAGTTGGCCAATTAATTTCTTTCTATTTATAGTAGAGACGGGGTCTCGCTCTTGCTCAGGCTGGTTTTGAACTCCTGACCTTGAGCAATCCGCCCGCCTCGGCCTCCCAAGAGCTAGGATTACAGGCGTGAGCCACAGCGCCCGGCCTCTACAAGCTTTTTTATAACTTACTTTTAAAAGCCCATATATAATGGATGTTTTTCAGTAGGGGGGAAAAAAACTTGACTGACCACACAGTATTTCATTGTGTGAATGTATTATTATTTATTACTCTGTTTAAAATAGATTACTATTTTAGATTACTATAAATGGTGTTATAAATATCTAAGGACACATCTTTTGAACATTTTGGATAATCACATTATGTTTAATATTTATTCCTAGAAGTAAAATGCTGGATCAAAAGTGTGATTAAGTTATTTTTAAATAACTGCCCGTCAGGCCAGATCATATTCTCTGTCCAACAGTGATAAGCTCTAGTTCTCAGAAAAATATTCCTTTAAAATCTCTCCTGTAAAACTCAAGATAAAGTGTGCACATCCTGTGTTTTGCAGACGATTACAGAAATATGAAAAATTCAGCTAAGTGTAGAGTGATGACTCCTGTTCAGAGAACAAACAGTTCTCAGCTGCATTATATATTCCTCTCTGAAGTTTCTTATTCTAAGAGCCTAAGATAACACTAAATAGAGCACTCTTGAAATGTTTTATATAATCCTTCTGAATTGTAGTTTTCTGGGAGCCAGCTGCAGCAGGATTGCTTCTATGAGAACAGTTTGATCAATTTTATTGGGTGCCACCAGCTACATCAGTGCTTGATGAACTCTTTATGCTTTCCTTTAAGTTCATAAGATAACTTAAGTCAAGCCATTATGTATGTTAATAGGGAAGTGCTGTGCTAAAGGCAGTGGAATCAAAGGACTGATCTCATGGGATTATTTCTGTATTATAGGGTGGCCATCCATCGTAGTTTGCTGGAGACTGAGGGGTTTTCCCCGGTTGAAGGGCATGATGATGAACTACCCCTTCCTTTGTATGTTTGTGCTAATTATAGAGGAGGTGGCAAGTATTTAGACATACAATAAAATAAGACATGTGATCTAATTTTTTGTTTGCACAATGCTCTTTTTCTGAGATTTATAGATTAAAATTGGTAAAGATTTAGATAATGGCCATAAATATTTTATGCTTTTAATTTAAGAGGCTGGAGTGCAGTGGCTATTCACATTTACAGCTTTGAATTCCTGGGCTTAAGCGATCCTCCTGCCTTAGCCTCCTGAGTAGCTGAGAATATAGGCTCGTGCTACCATGCCCAGCTCTGTTTTACCTTAATGATCTTTTCCTGAACCAACTGATGAGAAGTTCCTGGCTTTTTTTGAGATTCTAGCAGTAATTTGGTTCTGTAGCAAAAACCAAGAAGAATGCCTAGTTTTTTACTTTTGAAAATAGCTGTGTAGACTGTTTCCACATTGGTAATTTCACATTGTCTTTATTCATGTCTTACACAACATGGTACTGTACAAATTAGACTCAGATCCTAAAAGCGTTAAGAGTAAGAAGTTAGTAGTATGCAGTTTAGCTATGTGCAGAAGACTTTTGTGATGTAAGTTACTTAGTAAATATGATATGTAATCCTTAATTAATTACTTAGATCCCATTTCCTATTGTATCACTTACAAGAAATTCTGGGAGGATGATTTCACTTGTATCTCAGTTTAGTGCCTTTATATCCATATCCTTCTGGAAAACGTTTCTTTTTTTTAAAATTTTATTTTTTATTTGTATACATTAATAGGTTAAAAGTGTGATTTTGCTACATTGCTACACTGCATTGTGGCAGAGATGGACCCTTCAGTACTTGCATCACTTGGCAATGCACATTGTACCCACCAGGCTGGGGAAGGTTTCTGAAGCCATGCTTATTGTGTTTCAGCTTGATTCTTAGTTCTGTTATTCATTATGATGTATGTTTTTCTGCTGCCTGTTCTTTTATCCTGTGACATTTTTCAGTCTCTTGTGATTAAGCCAGTAAGGTCATATAACTCATACATACCATAATTTATACTTTTTTTTTTTTTTTTTTTTTTACCAGCCTGTCCAGGTCTATATATCCAACTGCCTACTTGGCTTTTCCACTAAGGATGTCTAACAGTCATTTTAGACTTCTCCCAAATTGAGCTCCTTATATTTCTCCCTATAAACTACCTGCTCTCGCTGTCTTTTCCATCTCAGATAATGGCATTTCCATCCTTCAGGTACTCACATCCTAACACCTGATGTCATTTTGATTTTTCTTTTTCTCTTTTGCCTCACACTCAATCTGTTTGGAAATTCTGTTGACTCTATTTTCAAAATAAATGTAGAACTGAACTATTTCTCATCATCTTCACTGCTACCACCTTGGTCCAGGTCTCCTTCATCTCTTTCCTGTATTATTATAGTAGCCTCCTAACTGATTATACCCTTGTACCTCTTAGTTTATTCTCAACATAGTGGTCAGAGTGATCCTGTTAATACATAATCCGACCTTGTCAGTCCTTTTCTCAAAACCATCTGGTGGTTCCCTGTATCATTGAAATTAAAACCAGAGTCCCAACTAGACCCTCCAAAGTCCTATAGAGTCTGGCATCCATTTACCTCTTTGACCTCATCTCCCACTACTTTCCTACTTTCTTACTGCATTCCAGCCTCACTGGCCTTCTTACTCTTCCACGGACACTCCAGCCTTGTTCCCAGCCCAATCCTTTATACTTGTCTCTCCCTCTGTCTGGAATACTTTCCCCCTATATGCTCTTATGGCAGATTCCTTCATCTTATTCAGTCAATCCTGTAGTGAAGCTTTGTTAGGCCACCCTATCTAAAATTTTCACTCCTTTTCCCCAACATTTTACATGCCCCTATTCTCTGCTTATTTTTCGCCTTAGTTTTTATACTATGAGTTTTGGTTTATTATGTTCATCCCTCCCACTGGAACATAAGTACTATAAGGCCAAAGTTTTTGTTAATTTTGTTTACTGCTATGTTCCTTGGTGTCTAAAATGAAATATATCCACCGTAGTTACTCAGTAAATATTTATTGAATGGATCATTCGAAAAGAAAGTATTTATTTATTTATTTATTTATTTTTGAGACAGAGTCTCGCTTTGTTGTCCAGGCTAGAGTGAGTGCCGTGGCGTCAGCCTAGCTCACAGCAACCTCAAACTCCTGGGCTCGAGTGATCCTTCTGCCTCAGCCTCCCGAGTAGCTGGGACTACAGGCATGCGCCACCATGCCCGGCTAATTTTTTATATACATATCAGTTGGCCAATTCTTTCTATTTATAGTAGAGACAGGGTCTCGCTCTTGCTCAGGCTGGTTTTGAACTCCTGACCTCGAGCAATCCGCCCGCCTCGGCCTCCCAGAGAGCTAGGATTACAGGCGTGAGCCACCGCGCCCGGCCTGAAAGTATTTATTTTGATTATTGTTCATTGCTTCAATCTGAAAAAATTAAAAGGATGAATCCAATAAATAGAATCCGATTTATATGACACAGCCATGCTTGAGGATATAATGTTGATAGTAGGTATAAGTGGAGGTTTTTGTAACAAATATTCAGGTGTTACTATATATGATAAGGATTATTTTCTTGGAATAAACAAGTAAGGAATACAGCTGTTCTAAATTTGACATAATGCTGTTAATTGAGAAAATCTGAGAATACAACAGAATGGTACAATGAAAGTGAGCTTGTTGATGTTTTAGTTCAATATAAGATCAACTCTAAGACCTTCAAACATGACTGGCCTTGTGAAATTAAGTGCACGCAAATATGTATATATGATTAGAACCACACTGCTTTCTTTTAGGAAGTTACTAGTAAATTTAGGGGAAACTAGTAATTATTCATATCAATACTGGAAGATTTTTTAAAGAAGATGTCTATGAAGCATTTGTAAAGTTTGCCACAGTTATCTCTGTCAGCTTCCTATCCTTTTTTAGTTTTTCAGTGTTACATTAGTTATTGGTGCATAACAAATTATCCCAAATTAAGTGGTATAGAACAACAAGAATTTATTATCCCAGATTTCTATATGTCAGGAATCCAAGAGCAATTTAGCTGGATGTCTCTGACACAAAGTCTGTCATGTGGTTGCAGTCAAGATACTGGGGAGGGAGCACTGCTGCATTCTCATCTGAAAGCTTGACTGGATAAAAGGTCACTGAGTGCTGTTGGAAGACCTCACCAACACCAGCGTTCCTTTGTGTATTAGGCCTCTCTACCAGGCTGCCTCATGAAGTGGCAGCTGGCTTTCCCCAGGGTACTCTATCTAGGAAAGAATGCTAACAAGATGGAAGTCACAGTCTTTGTGCAATCTAATCACAGAAGAGACCTCCCATCACATCTGCCATATTCTCTTCATTAGAAGTGATTCAGTAGGTCCAGCATATACTCAAAGAAGGGATTATACATGAGGAAATGGGATCACTGGGGGCCATTCTAGAGATTACCCACCACATATACTTTAACCTCTTTTACACAAGATTGCTAATTTTGATAACATGGCTATCAGTAATAATGACTTCAGCACAATTAGTTCATTGGCAACAAAGCTATGTATTTTTTAGTTTATCTGTGAAACAACTCAATTTATAAAAGAAAGAGCTTAAATGGGTGACTGCAGAAAAATGAATAGAGCAAATACTTTTAAGGAATTAGAACATATAATTTCAAGCATTATGAAGTAGCCATCTTTTTAGAAATAACAGATCCAAGAGTTTTTCCAAGGATATGATAGAAGTCCCGAACAAACAACTGCTATCTTGTTTTGTTACAATCAATTAAGATTCCCTCTCTTTCCTTAAATAAAACTAAGAAATAATATAATCAGTGGGATTTTTCAGTTTTTGTTGTTACATTAGTATTGATACGTTGCTATGTTTTGTATTTGAATTGAACTCTATTTCTCCCAAGGCAGATCAAAACATTTGTCCATAGGCAACATTTAGTGTAATGTATGTTAAAATAGTTACTAAACAAAAGGTCAGCAGTCTTTTTCCTGTTTCTTTTAGTTGATTGGAAGTTCTTCATTCAAGATGATCTTCCTAAAGACCAGTAGCTCCAGATAATATGCTTGATATTTAGTAGGTCCTAAGAAAATTTTGTCTGACTTAATAAAATTTCTCTTTCTAATTAACATTCCTTTTTTATAGAGAATAAATTTGTTCTACTTTGCTGATGTCTTTGTAGAAGCTCTTTGCACAATGCTTGTTATATAATCATCACTCAGTAAATGTTCTTTTCTATCTTGTAGAAGAAACATACTAAATCTCTATGTAGTGTTAAGTGCTTTCATGGCATGCAGAACTAATATTTAATAGTGCATGGGTTTTATGTATTTTCAAACCATCTTAAATTTAAGGAATGAATAACTTTTGACTGTCTCTTACATTTTGTAAATAATTTTTACCACTCCTAAACCATATCTTGAATTACAATTGAAAGTAATTTTTGACTTGGGTAATTTTCAAAACAAAATACTTGGGTGAATCCATTTTTCTTTTTCTGCTCCCCCCCACCCCCCAAAGTTAAAACAACTATTTGATAATGCTTAAGCCAAGATATTTTTTTGTGTAGAAAACAAAATTCCTTATAAATTATGATTATTATAATTGATGTGCATGTGCTTTCTACTTATAAACTAATGCTATTTTCCTTGTCCTTTTGTTTCACTGCTGCTTCCATCCTGATGCATTTTGCTTCTTCCTGGTTTGGACTGTATTTGTTTGCTGCTCAATTACCCTACATTAAAAGCTTCTTGGTGATAGCAAAGATGTCCTTTGGCCATCAAGTAAGTAGCTAAAGTTTGAATGGCATGTTTCGGGGACATGATAATATTTTGATGTGTACCTACAAAAGGCAAATGGCATTTCAATTTTCATTTATTATATTAAGTCGTCTACTTTTCTTTCCAGGAATTGAAAAACAAAGAGTGCTCATCTGTTCTCATTCTTATTCTGAGATTGATAGTATTTGAATGTTTACATTTTGATATCTAAAGTTGCATTAACTTACTCGATTATCTAATTCATAATTTAGGACTTCATCTTTAAAATATACTTTTCCATAGTCATCACAAGGCATAGATCAGACCACTTGGAGGCTAGAGATGGTACAAGGAATTCACTGACATATGAAAGTGAGAAATACTGTTCTATTTTATCAGAATTTTTATTTATTATTTATTTTTGAGACAGGATCTCACTCTGTTGCCCAGGCTAGAGTGCAGTGGCATGATCATAGCTCACTGCAGCCTCAAACTCCTGGTCTGAAGTGATTCTCCTGCCTCAGCCTCCCAAGTAGCTGGGATGACATGTGTGTACCACTGTGGCTAGCTAATTTTGTTTTTTTAAGTTTTTGTAGGGACAGTGTTTCACTGTGTATTGCCCAGGCTGGTCTTGAACTCCTGGCCTCAAGTGATCCTCCTGCCATGGTCTCCCAAAGTGCTAGGATTATAGGCATGAGCCACCACACCCAGCCAGAATTTTTACATAATAGATACTTTGGCTATGAAAGTTTTTGTATTTTGGGTATTTCATTACTGAAACATGCCTTATCTCAGGGATTTAGAAGATGTACCCTTTAAAATTGTATCCAATTCACCTCAACAAATTTTATTGATAGTGTTGTTTTTTTTTTTTTTAAGGCGGGGATTTGACACTATGCTAACATTTGGATATGTGCAATGAATAAAACACGTCTCTGCACCTAAGGATTTTTATAGTCTAGCTGGGGAGTGAGGGGGCAGTTGTTATCTTAAAAAATCATGGAATTACTAAGATAAAAGGAACTTCAGAGATCATATAATAAAAGCATTAATTTTATCAATGAAAAGTCTGAAACTAAGAACTTAAATATTTAAGAAGTTAGAATTGGGTACTAGCCCAATATGTCTTTCTTCTACTGCTAATCAAAAATCAAAATGAAATAATTAGTTTGCTGAAGTCCAGTCTAACCAAATAATTAAAATTTCACTGTATCGTAAATTAGAAAAACATTTTAATTTTGTTAAAGAGCAATATAGGAAATTATATTGATTTAGGAAGTTTTAAGTTTTAGTATTTATCTCTAAATAATCATCTGCTGCAAGTAAGTTTACTGTGCTGGAGTTCATTATTTTTCACTGACCAACGGAAAGGACTGAACAAGATAATGGCAAAGATTTCTTCTAGCTATAAATTTTTTTGGTCTAGATCAGTTGCTATTTGTCCCTAATACTTGTTATAGTATGTTATTTTTCTCTTAAAAGAGATGAATTAAAATAATATGCTAAATTCCTTTTTTCATTCTTATTGTAACAATTCCCAATATTTTAAATATGTTGTTTATTATACAACCAGCATTATTAGGATAGTAAAAATTTTACAAGTAAGGAAAAAAACATTTTTATGTTTTGTTGTTCAGCCTTGTGATACTTGGCAGATAATTTCAATGGATTCTTCAGTTATTTTAATTACCTCTTATATTTGGATGTTGACTCAGGTGAACTGAATGGCACTGCTGAACTTTATAAATAGAATGACATTTTAAAATATTAACTGAAGGGGTTTTAACATAGGAACTGGGTTTTATAAATGAAGGTCTTTAATTTTTACTTGGAATAAAAGAAATTTACTAAGGTTATGTATTTTAAGCATATATAAATAAAATATATAACATATATTAGAGATGACTTTATAATATACTCTGTTAAGTATTCAGAGGCTGAGGCTGTATAATTATTAACTAGAGACAGTACATCTTTTAAGTGAGGTACAATTGATCCTTGAACAACATGGGTATAAGTCAAGTGGGTCCACTTATAGGCAGATTTTTTTTTTTAAATAAATGTATTGGAAAATTTTTTGAAGAATTATAACAATTTGAAAAAACTTGCAGACCAAACCATGTAGTGTAGAAATACCACAAAAAGAAAAATATTTATACCATAAAATATACACAAATGTATTATAAAAAGTAAAAGTTTATCAAAACTTACGTACTCAAACGCTCATAGACCGTACATGGTGCCATTTGCAGTGGAGAGACATGTAAACAAATGTAAGGATGTAGTATTAAATCATAAAAGTAACTGTAGTATGTGCTGTGCTATTATAATAATTTCATATCCACCTCCTGTTCTATTGCAAGTATCTTCTTAAATGCAGTGTGACACTTATCTACATATGAATAGTTCCTCTCTCCAGTAAATTGTGTATCACAGTGAAAAGTGATCTTTCCCAGTTCTCACATAGTTTTCATCAAGTCCAGGGTAATACTGTAAATTTTGAATATCATTATGAGACCCATATGAAATGCCACTGGTGATTCTGTGAGTGCTCCCAAGAAGCAGTGACAGGTCATGACGTTATAAAAAAAAGTTGTATTGCTTATATGTACTGTAGATTAAGGTCTACAGCTGTGGTTGCCTGCCATTTCAGATAAACAATTCATCTTGTAAACAGACTATGTAAACTTAGTGGCATCAATAAATACAGTACTGTAAATGTATTTTCTCTTCCTTATGATTTTTTTAACATTTTCTTTTCTCTGGCCTACTTTATTGTAAGAATACAGTATATAATACATTTGACATGTAAAATATACGTTAATCAATAGTTTGTTATCTGTAAGGCTTCCAGTGAACAGTAGACTATTAGTAGTTTTTGGGGAGTCAAAAGTTACATGCAGATTTTTGGCTGCACAGAATGTCTGCACCCCTGACGTCCATGTTGTTCAAGAGTCAACTGTAATTTCATCGTACTTGTTTAGAATATATTGGTACAATTGAGTGAAAAAACTACATGATATATATCAACATTTATATTATTTAAGTATTTAAGAAAAACTTTAGTACCTTAGAAGAAAAGGAGACTTAGGATTTACATACAGATTATTATTTATTTCTTTAAAAAATGTTTTCATCATAGCTTCTACTTGAATTAAGTGCAAACACCAGACTTTGCAGCTTGTAAAATTCTTCAGATTTTGTATTTATGAATTGAATTCAGAAAGTTCATAAACTTACAGATTCATATTCTCTTTAGAAGGCACAGCTGGTATGTTAATCATATTACTATTACGTATTCCAGTATGATTTCTGCTGTACTTAACATGAATAAAGTAATGTGAATAGCAAAGTAGGTTAATTTACTTTCACTATAAGTAGAACCAGTAGAGGGCACTGTAAGGTTATCTTTTGTAGGTGAGTCCATTGATTGTGGTGTCAGAAACAGCGCTGGAATTATACAGTGATTCATTTGCCAAATATCTGTTCAGTCATTTAGCAGATATTTATAGAGCATCAATTATGTGCCAAGGGATACAGACAGAAACAAAGTCATTGTGCCCCTCTTAAACTTATATTTGAATAGTCCGCTATTGTGTAAATGACATAGGACATCATAGTGATTTTTATATCATGCATCCTCTTTGTCTGTATGGTTGTTAATGCTTGTGAAAGTGGTGAGGGAAAACAAATAGAAAGATGGGCTTTCTGGTTTTTTTTTTTTTGTGAAGAAGTACGCTCTGTACATTGCTGTTTCTGTGTACTCTCACTTTAATCAAGGTTGTCAAAGATCATATAGTAATACCTCAGTTGAAAATGGATTAGAAAGGTGAATAGAACTAAAATTATACTTACTGGACTATTTCCTTTTTTATATAGTAAAGTTATCATAGATATTTATGTCTTATTAATAGAACACTAAAGCATACGTTAATTCTATTATTGCTGCTTATATTTTAAATTAACATTAAATGGACTATCTAGTACATACAAAAGAATGTGTCATGTTATGATAAAGCATAATCACACAATGAGCACATATGGTCCTACAACTCAGCTTCAGAACTCTAGAATCTTACAAATACCTAATATACTTCAGTTTGCTTCTTCTCTCTTCTATCCCTGTGCCTGCCCCCAGAGGTGATGAATAGGTTGTATTTTTTTATTTACTAGTCTTTGCTTTGTAAAAAATAGATTTTTAAAATTTTTAATCACATACATATCTTAGTATGTATCACTAAGTTTTGCTTGGTTTTTAAATTTGAAATAATGGTATCATGCTATATGTAATCTTCTAGGGCTTGCTTTTTGTAGTTGTTTTATTTTTAAGATTCATAGCCATGTTGTTCGTTATAGAAATGGATCATTCATTTTTGTGCTATATACTATCCCATTATATGCATGTGCCATAATTTATTAATATATTTTATATTCAGTTGATGAATATTTTGCTATTAAGAATAATGTTGCTATGCACATTCTTATGCTTATCTCTTGGTACACACCTGTAAGATTTTTCCTAGATTCTGAGAGTGGAATTGTTGGACTCATAGGGTATGCTGAAATTCAGTTTTATGTACGATAGCTCCAAATTGTTTTCCAAAGTGTATCAATTTATACTCTTTGGAAAACACCAAAGTGTTTTCCAAAGAGTATCAATTTATACTCCATCAGTAGAGCTTAAGACATTTTCTGGATCCCATCGTCATCAGTATATGGCATTTTTATACTTACTAATTTTTGTCAATTTTACTGAGTGTAAAATATTTATTTCATTGTTATCTTGATTTGTATTTCCTTCATTTCTAAAGAGGATGAACATCTTCTCATATACTTACCAACAATTTGCAATTCTTTTTCTGTGAAATCACCGTTCACATCTTTTGCCCATTTATTATGTTGTTGTTCTTTTCTAATTGGTTTATAGCAGTTTTTTTAAAAGAACATTCTGGACACCAACCCTCTGTTGATTATGTGTTGCAATATCTTCTGTTTTGTGACTTTCTTTTCATTCTATTTATGGTATCTTTTAATTGAATTAATTCATAATTTTAATATAGTAGGATATAGCAACTTTTTGGTTTGTGGTTAATGTTTTGTTGTGTCTTTTTAAAAAATTAAAGAGTTGGAGTCTCACTGTGTTGCTCAGGCTAACCTTAAACTCCCGGGCTCAAGTGATCCTCCCACCTCAGCCTCCCAAGTAGCTGGGACTACAGGTTTGTGCCACTTTGCCCAGCTGTTGTGTCTTTTTAATAGAATCATTCCCTATTTCAAACTTATGGAAGTATTATATTCTAAAGGTTTTCAAATTTTGCTTTTTATGTTATGTCTTTAATATTTATAGAACTATTTTTTCTGGTATGAGGTAGGGTTCGATCTGTTTTTCCAATATGGATAACCAGTTCTCATGTTATTAGTTGAGTAGTGTTTTCTCTCTCTCTGTCTCATATTTAGGCTTTGGCTCACCAAACATATGTGTCTGTTTCTGGGAGCTGTCTGTTATGCTCTTTAGGCCAGTTTGTCTCTGTGTCAGCACCACACATTTTAAATTTCAATAATTATTTTTAGGAATCAAATGAATCTTGGATTTAGTAACTGAAGGAACCACCAAATACTTTACAATATATTTATAAAGTTTCTTAAAAATATAAAGTTGGTTGATTGATTCACTCAACAAAATTTTATTGAGCACCTTTAGTATACCAGGAAGTGGCACCTTCAATATGCTAGGAAGTATACCAGGACCTCAGAATTTATGGGAAAATAAGGCAGACAAAACTCCATCCTATGGAATTTAAGGTCTAATGGAGGAAGGCAGACAATAAACAAATAAATGATATTACTTCAGGTAATGAGAAGAGCTACAATGAAAATTATGTAGGGTAAGGTGATAGAGTATAACCCTGAAGGCGGTAGGCATTAATCTTAAAAAAAAAACTGATAAATTGTGCTGTATTAAAACTAAAAACTTTATTTATCAAAAGCACCAGGAAGAAACCAAAGGGCTTTTCGGAAGAGATGACATTTGAGCACAGACAACAAATGAGAGAAGCCAATAATGTGAAGATCTGGGGGAGGAGTATTTCAAGTAGAAGAAGCAAGAAATGTAAAGGGGACAAGATGGCATCTTTTGAGGAGTACCAAGAAGGGCATTGTGGTAGGAGCCAAGTGAGTGACAGGAGAATGGTAGAGAATGAGGTTGGAAAGTTAAGCAGGTGCCAGACTGTGTTGAATCTCCAGGTCTTGGATTCTATTGTAAGCATAATGGAAAGCCATTGAGAATATTTCTGATTTCTAACTTTAAAAGATTACTTGGGCTTCTGTGTAGGGAGTAAATTTTATAAAACAGGAAGCAAGGTGATAAGTTGGTAGAAATCTGCTGCTGTGGCCCAGTGGAAAGGTAATGGTGGCTTGGATCAGGTAGTAGTTGTGGAAGTGGGGAGAAACAGTGGGATTCCAGATACATTTTGAAGGTAGAGTCGAAAGCAGGCATCCTCAAACTATGACCCACGGGCCACAGGCAGATGTTTTTGCCTGTTTGTTTTTTTACTTCAAAATAAGATATGTGCAGTGTACAAAGGAATTTGTTCATAGTTTTTTTTAAACTATAGTCCGGCCCTCCAACGGTCTGAGGGACAGTGAACTGGTGAACAGTGAACAGCAAAATTTGAAAACCTTTAGAATATAGTACTTTCATAAGCTGTTTAAAAACCTGTCAAAGATTTCATGAATGAATTGAATGTGAGATGTAAGAGAAAGAGAAAAATCGAAGAACACATCTAAGGTTTTTGGCCTGAGAAAGTAGGGGGAGGGGAGTAGTGATGGCACTGAGATGGGTGTGAGGCAGTTTTGGAGGATAAGCGGAATCAAGAATTATGTTCTAGATAAATTTGAGATGCCTGTAAATAATGAAGAGGTGATTATAAGGCAGGCAGTTGTGTGAGTTTGAGTTTGGGAGAAGTATTATAGCTGGAGATAAAATTTAGGAACCATTAGTCTATAGTTTTTTTTTTTATTGGCTTGGTGGGAAAATAATTTTTTTACCTTTTTTGCACGAGAAATGAAAATGTTTTTGTATTTTTACTTTGAAATAAAGAGCTAAAATATAATTTTGAAAACTTTAGCACATTGGAAAACATTAAAGCAAATTTATTAAAAACGTGATAAAAATGTGAATATGAAGTTCTGATTAAGTTGAAATATTAAAATTAGAGTGAAGACCAAATCATTCATTCTTAAAATGAAACAAAAGTTTTTGTAGTCTGAAAGCAAGAAACATACAGTGAAAGAGCTTGGAGATCCTGGGACACTGTGGACTTATGATTTATTTGCCCTGTTCCTTCATGTAGTGTTTTCTCTTTTTTATCCTCTCTGAAACTGGGCATTGCTCTCCTGTATTATAATAGTAGCTTGGCCAAATGGATGAGAAGCTGCCTGAACTCACTATGTAAATTGATTATTGGGGCAGCAAGCTTTTAAGAGACAGGTTTGGGAACCTAATGGGTCTTGAGTTAGAATGTTGCCTCTATTACTTACTTACTACTTAGTCTTGGGCATGGCAATCTCTGAACCTCAAGTTTCCCCATTTCTAAAACAGATTTCATACCGACTTTCCATGAAAATTAGAAATTAGAGCAGAAATTCTAGTGAGTGTAAAATATTATTTTATATTTTAATAACTTGTATTTTTTCTGATTACCAATGAGCCTGAGTATCTTTTTATATGTTTATTGACCATTTGTATTTCTTCTGTGAAGTGACTTTGTCTTTTGCTTATTGTTCTATTGGCAAATATAAAGAGATTATAGCACAGTGAGAGGTACAAAGTAAACCTTGGAGTGCCTTTCATTACCAGTTGGATGTGTATTTTCATTTTTGTAACATTTACACTTTGCATGTTTGACTCAGACATACCTGTCAATTCCTCTTGGATTGATAGAGACCAACATGAAAACAAAATGATTATGTGAACTTATTTAAGTCTTGAATTGGTAAAATGAATATAACCACTGAGGCCATTTCAGTCATAATTCTATTCTGTTATTATGCCATTATATAAATCTAGGACTTTAGTACTAATTATTTTTCTCTTCTTTCCTTGAGCTGTTGTAGCAAACAGTGACGAAGCTCAACTTCTGACACCAGGAAAGATGAGTCAGCGCCAAGGGAAAGAAGCTTATCCAACACCAACCAAAGATTTGCATCAGCCATCTCTCAGTCCAGCAAGTCCTCATAGCCAGGGTGAGAAGTTGTGATTTTAACGTTTTGTTTTTTTTCCCTCTTCTGAAAGGAGAAAGGGATAATGACATTTGGGGTCTATCATATTTTTTTATTTTGTAACTATTTGGTTATATAAGGTTTTTGGTTCATTTTGTTTGGGTCACCCATAATATTCTTGAAATGAGTACATTTTTCTTAAAAGTCCTTTAATTTCTCTTATATTCTCCAACACACTTTCTTAGTTATACCATTCTTCTAATTTAGTGATTCTCATGCTTTTTTGACCTTATACTCTTAAAAATTATACTCTTAAAAATTATTGAAGACCCTAACACGCTTCTGTTTATGTGAGTTATATCAGTTGATATTTGCAGTATTGTTAATTAAAACTAAGAATTTAAAAATTTTTATTATTTAAAATATAATAAACACATTACATGTTAATATAAAATTTTTATTAAGAATTACTATGTTTCTTCACCACCACCACCACCACCACCCCAAATTGATTGAGATGGTTGGTATTGTTTTACCTCAGGATTTCTTAACATTGACATTTTGGCCTGCATAATTCTTTGTTGTGAGGGGCTGTCCTTTGCATTATAGGATGTTAAGCAGTATCACTGTCCTCTACCCATAGATGCCAATAGCACTTTCCCCAGTTAGGACAACCAGAAATGTTTTCAGAGGTTGCCAAATGTCACTTGAGGGACAAAATCATCCTGGATTGAGAACTACCGTGTGATAATTTTTGCAAATCTCTTTACTGTCTGGCTTAATAAAAGACACCTGGATTTTCATACCTACTTCCTCAGTCTATTGTGATGTGATGATTTCATTGAAGTATGAGAATAAAATGTGGCCTCACATATGTAGTTGGTAAAGGAGGATTATAGTAATAGCTTTTATACATAATTGTTAGGTATTCTTTGGTAATATACCAAAACTTGACAAATAATAGTTTCTTGAATGTTAGTTGCAATATGAAATCTGAAACTATATCGGTACTCTTTTTCTTTTTCCTTGTGACACAGTCTCACTCTGTTGCCTGGGCTAGAGTGCCATGGCATCAGCCTAGCTCACAGCAACCTCAAACTCCTGGGCTCAAGCAATCCTCCTGCCTCAGCCTCCTGAGTAGCTGAGACTACAGGCATGCACCACCATGCCTACCTGGCTAATATATATATATATATATATATATATTTAGTTGTCCAGCTAATTTCTTTCTATTTTTTTAGTAGAGACGGGATCTCGCTCTTGCTCAGCCTGGTCTCAAACTCCTGAGCTCAAACGGTCCTCCCTTCTCAGCTTCCCAGAGTGTTAGGATTACAGGCGTTAAGCCACCATGCCTGGCCCAGTATTCTTTTTATACTCTGTTAAATTAAAATCTATTAGTCTGTCTTGAATTTTGAATGGGTCTTTTTTACTCCTCCATAATTTTGTACCATCGTACATTAGTCATTTAGAAAATATTTGTTCATTGAATTACATAGATCTTCCAAGCATTGACACTCTTTAAAATACAATACAGAGAATTGCTTTATGCACAGTTCTCATTCTGTTGCACAAAATATTCAAATCATGTTACTTAAAGTTGAAGATTACTAATTTTTACTGCTTCATCTAGGACATTTGTTAGTGAAACTGGCATTCTTTTACTGTGAGTGCATGACTGTGAAGAATTCAGTGACTACTGCTACAGTTTGTTGCCTTTGCCTTGATTTGTGTTCAGGTGCCAGCATTTTTACCCAACATTGCTTTTGCACTGTCAGTAAAAATGTCAACATAATGAAAAAGTATTATGAAACTGGTTTTGACCTTGCAGACCCTCTGAAAAGGTCTTGGGAGACTCTCAGAGGTTCATGGATTACACTTCCTAATTCATAATTGATCAGTTGTGTGTAGTGGATTCTGTTACTCAGCTGGAGTTTATTTTATCAAATGTTCTGAATTCTCCTGTGGGTATTACTCATAGCTGCAGTGGAAGGACTTCTGCTTTTAAAACTGAAAACTTAAATTTGGTGTCTGAAAGCTAATATGTGCTCAGGTTATGGAGTATTTTTCAAAATTAAATCTAGAGTCCTAGCTGTCATATGGTGTGTCAGGTTTTGGTGTTATAACTTTAAGAATTTTCCTTTGAACGCAGACTTGAGTAACTTCTTTTCAAATGAGTACTTATTGGTAAATAGTAAATTATATCATTTTCTACTTTGTATCAATAGAAAATGTTTTCTAGTCATGTGTTAGATGGAAACACTTTTATATAGTATTGTGGGAACTGTAAACATTTTATATAACAAGATGAAAAGAATTACTATGTTAACATTTATTGCTTAGTTGTTGAAAATATTTTTGGACAGTTAGCATTTTTGTTGCCAAAATGCTTTTTTTTAAGATATGAAAATGGACATTTGGTACATATTCTGGTATAAATAAGCTTCATTAAAATAAAATTCTGGAAAGATGCATCTGTCCTGGTTTTTCCCATTGTGTGCACCAGAATTTTGACTGTGATAGATATGGTTCATCTGATTCATGTATCTGTGCCACTAGAATATTTAGAGGTGTTCTTTAGACTTAGTGAACCAACAAGAGGGGTAAGTTACTAATAATTAAAACTACCCTCACTTGTATCTATCATGAACATTTTCAGGCCAACAGGGAAGTTGAGAGAAGAGTACAGTGAACATTAATATACCCATTGTGTAGATTTAATAAATTATTAACCTTTTCTTATATTTGTTTCATTTATTTGGAGGTGGCCTATTTAGAGTAAGTTACAGAACTCATGATGTTATATCCCCAAATACTTAATGTATCTCTAAGAAATAAGCACATTTTCTTTTTTTTAATTATTTATTTTGAGTCAGGGTCTCACTCTGTCATCCAGGCTGAAGTGCAGTGGCATAATCATAGTTCACTGCAACCTCAAATTCCTGGGCTCAAGTGATCCTCCTGACTCAGCCTCCCAAGTAGCTGGGACTATAGGCATGCTCTGCCACTCCTGGCTAGTTTTTTTATTTTTGTAGAGACAGGGTTTAAGTATGTTGGCCAGGCTGGTCTCAAACTCTCAGCCTCAAGTAGTTCTCCCACCTCAGCCTCCCCAAGTGTTGGCTTAAGCCACTGGCCTAAGTGCCAATGCCTCCCAAAGTGCCTGGCCCAAGCACGTTTTCTTACATAACCATAAATCCTTTATTACATCTAACAAAATTGATGATAATTACTTAACCCTGGTTCATATTTAAATTTCCCAAGTTGTCCCCAAGTTTTTTTCAGTAGGTTTGTTGAAACCAAATAAGGTTCATACAACATATTTCATTAAGTCATTACATCGTTGATCCTGAAGTGTCTCCTTGTTTATTTTTGTCTTTGCTTGACTTTTTTAAGAAACCGGGGCCGGGCGCTGTGGCTCACGCCTGTAATCCTAGCTCTTGGGAGGCCGAGGCGGGCGGATTGCTCAAGGTCAGGAGTTCAAAACCAGCCTGAGCAAGAGCGAGACCCCGTCTCTACTATAAATAGAAAGAAATTAATTGGCCAACTGATATATATATAAAAAATTAGCCGGGCATGGTGGCGCATGCCTGTAGTCCCAGCTACTCGGGAGGCTGAGGCAGAAGGATCACTCAAGCCCAGGAGTTTGAGGTTGCTGTGAGCTAGGCTGACGCCACGGCACTCACTCTAGCCTGGACAACAAAGTGAGACTCTGTCTCAAAAAAAAAAAAAAAAAAAAAGAAACCGGGCCAGTGTCCTGTATAGTGTTTGACTTTTTGGATTTGTTTGATTGCTTCATTGCAATATTGTTCAATATTTTTCTCTATCTTCTATATTTTTTGTAAATTAGAAGTTAAATGCAAAAGCTTGATTACATCTAGGGTGAACATTTTTGACAAGAATACTTTGAAGGAGTGTGTAGTGCTTTATGCTACATGACATGAGAATTCACTTGATATCTGATCGTCCTACTGTAAGTGATGTGAGATTGATCAGTAGGTTCAGGTGGCAATAGCCTGATTCGCTTCATTGTAAGTTGCATCTTTTCTTACCTTATGACTTGAAAGTAAAAATGGATATGATGTATTTGGCACCCTGCAAATATCCTGTTCTCCATCAACCTTTTGCCAAAAGAGTTCACACCCTTTGATGATCATTAACTGAATCACTTGTAATATTAGGAGTTGAAAAATGATGGTTTTCTAGTTCTATCATTCTTTTTACATTTGTTAATGAAGTTTTTCTGTAAAGAAGAGATCTTCATCTTAGGATTGCTTGGTAGATGTCGAAGTATAGTTCCTGCAGGAAAGGCAGGATAAATGAGTATTTGTTTCCTGCAAAGTAAGTACCAGTTTTTAGATTAAAGAGGTGATGTAAAGTTTACTTCTAGTGTTCACAAACCTTTTTGCCTTTTCAAGTTTTTTTTAATGTCATGAAGAACTCATGTATTTTTGTATATTCATTATGTTTTAGTCATTGGTAAAATGAAGATAATAGTATTTAGCACATAGGATTTTTATCAGGTATAAAATGAGTTAATATGTGTAAAAACTTAGAACAGGTAGGTGATAGCCACTCATGAGAGCTGATGTAATGATAATTATAATTATTACTATTATTTAAATAAAAATTATTCTATTTGGGTTGAAGGGTTTTTTTGCCTTTCCTGTACTTCAGCATCTTCTAGAGGCTCATGTAGAACTTTTTTTATATGCTCATTGGCCATTTTTATTTATATCTTTTGTGAGGTGTCAGTTTATATTTTTACCCACTTAAAAATTGACTTGTTTATATTATTATTGAGTTTTAAGAGTTATTTAGTATATTTTAGTACCATCTTTTGATAGCTATGTGTACTGCGAGTGTTTTCTTCCAGTTTTGGTGTGGCTTTTTATTTTCTTAGTGGTTTCTTTCAAAGAGCAGATGTTTTTAATTTTGATGAGGCCAAATTTATCAATTTTTTGCTGTGAGTCAAACTTTGTTGTTATTGTTTTTTTTTTCCTATTAAAGAAATGTTTGCATACCCTAAA